TTTTTTTTTTTTTTAAATTTCACTTTAAAATTAGGTAAAAAATTCTTATTCATTGCTAAAAACCTATGGTAGGAATTTATTTTTGCTTTGTTAATTTATCAGCTATATCTAGATTTGACTGCAGCTTTAAACCAATACTTACAACTTAATTTATTTCTTTTCATGATATATAATGATAATTAGAGAATAATATTGTTGGGAAAAAAAAACTTATGCAGAAACTTATCTTTTATTTAATTATTTGAAGCATTCTAAGCATATAGTATATTTAAATTAAGAAGAAAGATTTTATGGGTAAACGAAGAGAAAAGAAAATTATATTATTTATTTTGTTTAGTAACTTAAAAACCACTTCAACATTCATTTAAGTATTCATCTAGTGAATTCTGCCAACTTAATTTTTCTCTTTTGTCAATCATTTTCTTCTCTAAAACAGGATGTCCTTCAAAAAGTAAATCAAATTTTGGCGCATGTAAAACACATGTTTGATTTATCAACTTTGAAGTAAACAAAACAGACTATAATTACAGATATCTCCAGCCTTATGATACTTTGGTCTTACAAACGATCTAAATTAATGCTTATTTTCGGTTAAAGAAAGAAAACTATGTGGGATTTTTCACTTTTCCGAAGGTGAAAGAGCGAATATATAGTTCAACGTTTATTAATTCCAATGGCTGCACAAAATTCTAATTAGTGTGTACTATATACGGTATTGAGGAAAATTTTGGTTTGAGTGTCTGCCAAGAATTGTAAGGCAGAAAATAATAATGAATCATTTTTAGCAGCCAAACATATTATCTTACTATTTAAGCCTTTCACAACAGAAAGAACAAAACAAATTTTTACTTTCAGCATTGAGCCTATAAGGTATTTTCTCCCTCCCTTCTGCATGCCTTCGTGGTATAATGGTATCACATTCAGCGAGCATTCGAGAGGTCCAGGTTCGAGTCTCGGCGAGGTCATTGCTCATTTTTCAAGTCTCCAGCATCAAATATGTGTAACGTGTATACGAGCCAGTTTCCCTTAGAAAGTCCTCCACGAAGGCATCCCTCCCCTTAGGCAGATAGCCCTAGTGTGCTTTCCCATAATTAAATACACCACACACCACACCAGCATCAAAGTAACCTAATGACTCTACAAGCTAAGTAGGTATCGAAACTATAAACACAGTGATCTTATGGATGCAAGTAATGATACGTTATTCAACAGGCTGATTCTTGACTTGACTTTCCTATACCAGTGACCATGTATTTCATATATTACTGAATCTTATACACCAATTTATCATTTATCGCGTCTCCTGTATCAAAATAATTTAATGACTTTACAAATATTAGAAATATAGTGAATCATTTAAAATGTATTCCGTTACGAATAAGCCTGTAAAATAAATTATATTATGTTGAAATCAGGATAAAATGAATTACGGTAAATATGTCAGAAAGGAATCGTCTTCCGTAAAAAAAAAAAAAAAAAAAAAAAATGTTTTTTCTGTCACAAATAAATTTTTAAATTTGTATAGTACTACTTGAGATATACTGCTGTCCGTTAAAATGGCAACACCAAGAAGAAATGATCCGAGGAACTTCAAAATCATATGAAAGGAAGAAGTTGGGGCATGCAAACAATTAGTATTTCAGCACATTTCGAAGACACAGGAGGGAGAAACGACATCTGAAGCACTGCATAAAAGAAAGTTGTGTAGTGGATCTTATGGAAAATGCTTCGTAAGGTCCGGAGTTTTGCCGGAGACGTGTTATGCTTCGAAAAAGAGAGAATGCTTACCAGCAAGTTTTGAAATTCGATAGAGGCAGGATCGTTGCCTATCGAAAGTGTAGATTATTCGTTCCGTGATATCGCCAGTCGCACTGGTCAACGTCCAACCACTGTTATGCGAATCAATGGCTTACTGAGGGTATACTGAACTGCATGCAGGATCTCAACGACTTCCTATGACTAATACGAGAGAGGACAGACATATTGTGAGGTCAGCTCTACAAAACCGTACGACCACATCAGGGACCATTGAGACAGAAAATGGGCATGTTTGCAGCGTGCCCGGTATCAGCTAGTTAGGTGCGTAGACGTTTGCAGCAGCGTGGACTATCAGCAGAGTGACCATTATTCCGGCTTTCCTTGACAGTGGAGCATAAAGTGAGACGGCGAGTCTGGTGAGCCAAACGACAAAGCTGAGTACAGGATCCCACAATGTCGCCTTTTCAAACGATTGCCGGTTCTACGTGTAGTATTCTGATCTCCGTATACGTGTCTGCAGTGTCCCAGAACCGAAGTCGTCTGCTGCCTTCGATACGGTATAGGGGCCTGCACCTGGTGGATGTTGGCTGCCATTGGTTACGCGACACGAACATCTGACTCCTGACTCTTACGCCAATGGTGTGCGATACTTCGAGTCCCAAACGCATTTCCAACAAGATAATGCAAGACCACATGTATCACGTCATGTTCTGACCTTCCTCAATACACTGGGTATTCGACTGCTGTCCTAGCCTGCATGGTCTTCAGATCTGTCCCCCATTGAAAGCATCTGGTCATGGGTTTCTGAGAGACTGGCCCGCCACCCCTCTCCAGCTAATACGTTTGATGAATTGTGGCATAGACTTGAAGCAGCATGGAATGAGTTGCACATTTCTGTCATCCAAGCTCAGTTTGACTCCATGCCTAATGAGGTAAGGGCAGTTTTAGCTGCCAGGGAAGGCAACTGTTTCTACTAATTTCGCACCCCTGTAAACCTTCAAAATGCTCACAAATTTAATCATTTTGTCTTCATGCCATACTGTTTACGCACAATAAATATTTTTTTGTATTTGCTTTCCTTTTTGGTGTTGTTTTAATGGGCAGCAGTATATTTTAAACTGATGTCGAAATTAAAATATTTTGGTAGTAGAGAATAAAGATATTTGATGGCTTTGGTTGAGTTAGAGATAGATTTTCTTAGAAAAAAATGTTTAAACTGTCAACATTAATGTTTTTTATGGTTTAATAACCAGGAATGATGGTTATTTTCACATGCGTTTGCATCTGTAGGAAATGGTCACCACGAAGGGACCGCTTCAAAACGGTGCTCCGGCGTAACGGTAACGCACCTTTATGAAAGTGGACCGTTGTTCAGAAACAAAGAATTCATCTTATCGGAACCACGGCACAAGGAAGTATGCACAAACTGAAGATCAGTTTCTTGTCCGAAACTGATCGTCCGCACACTTATGCTAATCCAGCGCTTTTCATAAGGGTGGGTATCTGATTTTTTTTATACAAAAAGCCGGTCTTGCTTTCTGGAAACGCAGATTTTCAAACTAAATAAACTATAATAGTAATTCCCAAAACATGCGTTGCATCGTGAAATAATTTTCGCTGAAGAGTGAAAAGATATTTGAATATTTTTTGTTTTGGATTACAGTTACTTATATTGATTAAAATAATTTATAATTAATAATTACGTAATTGATTGTTGATAGTTATTCATAGTTATTTATTATTAATCCGTTGCAACGTTAGTTTTTTATGAATTTCTTTTTTCTCTTTCATAGAGAGTAACATTTTCTACAAAATTTCTAGAAAGCAATTTTCTTTTTTAAAAGAGCCTCATAGGTCGTGATGATAAGAAATTTGGGAAGCATTAAGAAAAAAGTAAATATTAAATGGGAAGGGATTCGAAGCATTCTATTACTAACAGCAATTTTTTTTATATTTTAAATCAACATGTACGTTGATAACCGAAAGAAAATCAGGTAAGATATTTAAATTATAAGATTGAAAGCATGAAAATTTGAATATTTCATAGAATATTGAAGATTTACTTTAGGGGACATTTTTATTGAAATTACGGTCTATATTCAATCCAGATAAAAAATAAAATAAAAAATAGTTGATTAAATAAATATATAAATAAATAAATAAATAAATATACACACATTTTTTCACCCCTTATGTGTATAGCAGTTTGCCATTTCAGCGAAACTAAAGAAAAATTGTTCTGATTGATTAAAACTTCAGTTCATTAAAACTTCCAGCGCTTTTCATAAAGATGCGGGCAGCATTATAACAAATCAGGTTTTCATAAGGATGTGAACATTCTTATACAAAGTCCCCATTCTTCATAAAAGTGTTAAAGATTTGTTTCATCATCTGCTTAATTAATTAATCAGTAACTAAAACAAAATCGGACTGTCATGAATGGACTGGCATGAATCACGCGCCTTTATGAAAAACGACGGATTGACATATGGGTGCCGACGATGAGTCTGAAAAGAGAAACTCCAATTTGTGCACATTTCTTTATGCCACGTCACCGTTATTAACATTTCTGTCTTTTCGAACAGTGGCCAATTTGCATAAAAATCCTGTACCGTCATGAAGGCTCCCACCACGAAAGGGTTCACTGTATGCTTTTCCCGTTGCAAAAGCATTGAAATTGTCCACAAGAAACCTGCTAATTGATATAATACTTAGAAATCTTTGCAAATATTATGGTGTTTGAAAATTAACTCTTTGCATCTCATGACCGTGCGTAGCGTATTCATGTTACATTTTAAGCTTTAAATTTTAATAAGATAACTCTTTCATTGAAAAAGCATTTCAAAAGAGTGTTTTGAATTAATTCTTTATGTGTGTAATCTTATACTTAACCTCGGTTCCTTTGTATCTGTAAGACTATTTACAAAATTTATTTGGAAAAAATATAGCAAGCGACTTGAAATAATGCGTGTTTATTTTCTCAGGATATATTCTTAAGTGCTGGCTGCGCAAATGAAATTAGGCAGCCCCATTTTGTAACAACAAATGGGTTTCAATTGGCTTCAATTATTTTGTGTATTTACAGAAATTAACCATCTAGGCTATGCAACTTTCTTTTGGTATTAACAGTAAATATTACAAGACGTAATATTACATAAATATGTATCACAAAGTATTTATAAAACTAAAAATTATTTACTTATGCCATGGATATGGATATGGCTTTAATTAGAAATACTAACCGCTGTATTTTCTACGCTTTTCGTCTTTGATATTGCTGTACCGATCTTCGAATGCTTTCGGAACCTACTCAGAAATTATCATAAGTAAGAATCAGATACAAGTTATACCTTTTAGAGTTTGCAATTAAAGCATTTTAAATATCTCTTACCTGGAGTGGACTGTGAACAGACTGAAAAGATAGGAAGAGGTACAGCGGTTCATCTGGCGAATGAGATGAAAGCAAATCCTTCGCGACACTAGCAAACAGTGTCTGCAAAGTTAAAGTGGAGGAAATGTTAAAATCACATTTGTCTCTTAAAACAAAACGAAAAAGAAGCGAATTAATTCGCTTTTTCTAAATACATTGCATGAAAATTTCTAAAGTGCATAAAACAACGTTCATCTTTAAGGGTTTTTTAAGCTATTCATTTTAAGACTTGGTAAAGTATTGGAGAAGAAACTCATCAATATAAAGTTTTAATTGGCCAAAAACGCATCCTTAGATTGGTGTAAATTTTGAATAAAACTGTATCAATTATACATAAATCCCTCTTTTTCGGGATGCGATAGAAATTGCCAAATACTTAGGATATATACACAAGCTTTGCCAAAATCTTTGTAGCAAATTCTAAACAAAGAATATAACCATCTGCACTGATATAACAGGTACGGTACATGTGAACAGGAGTCTACTAGAATAGTGACTGATACGGACAAAAAGGACACGTAGGGCTTATAAAATTGAAAGTAAAGCTGTTTTAAGCCACTTCGTATTACTGTTGTAAAAATTAAAGAGTAAATAACGATTGAAACGAAACAAATAGCATACGATTTATAGAACAGAATTATTCCGTTTATTTTTCAATCTTTCCCACCCCCAAATTAGACAATTCCTGTAGTATATCAAAAATTATGCGTCTATGGTTACGCTTAGCTGCGTCATTTGTCACTAAATTTAAAGAAAAGGATGGATAGGGTGCATAAAATGCTTCCAGATTTATATTTAAAATTGTATTGGCACTTCATTAATTTTTCTATGCAAATCAGCATTATTATCATAGCTTTGAACTTAAAAATTATCTAAATTTATACCAAAATTACACAATTCTATATGTCTGACTGAAGCTTTATTCTAATTTATTATAACCATGAAACTCTTTAAAACCCATAGAATGTTCAGATGATTGTAATTTAGAATAACTGAAACATATTTGCTATCTTTTAATTAATTTATCATGAGTGAATTAACATTAGATAATCCATAGTTGCCAAAAACGATTGTCTTTCTTTTCGTATTTATTTTATAGGGTTAAACTTAATCTGGTAATGCTACTATTTTAGTAAAATAACCCTGACAGGTGTGAAACGAATTATCGCTACGTCTGAGAAAAGCGACAAAGGTCTTGACTAGATTAAAATAATCTTTTAATTTAAACAGAATTTTAAACATTAGGTGCACGATCTTGTATTACAATGATCACAACTCGCAGTGATGCAAAATAAACAGAACAGTCCAATTTAACTTAAACTTTGAGCAATAATCGAAGATTACACAACTGAATATTACACTAGAAGCTCGCCAACTAATTCTCCCGGAATGTCAAAATTAAAGTATCAGCAGCGAGATCGAAAGCCGAATAGTTACAACTATTAAAGTTGGCAGGAAACCAACTACGTAGCGCGCGCGCGATGCCAAAAACATGCTCTGTCCCAAAGCCCAAAACCTCAATTTAAATACTCACTATTAATTTGCATTCTGGTAAGGAATACGCAAAGGAGAAGTTATAGTAAAGGCTGAAGTCAAATTAATTGGTTAATTAACGTAAGATTCCCTACAATTTTTTACCTGAAAACTAGTCTTTTTTAAAGAGAGAACAATTGTTTAAAAATTATTTCATTGGCTTCAAGTATGCATTAATTTCTGTTTTACTCCTATGCATGATCAATGACAGGAAATTTTCTTAAGTGTTCGGATCTGAGATTACTGCTTAATGGAGATAAAAACTTTATTGAACAGTCAGAGCTTAATTTTTAAAATTAAAATTGCCGGACCCCTACGGAAAGGAGCTAGGAAAAGATAAAATTAAATAAAATTACAGTAAACAGAACAATAAATGCCAACTAATTACACTAAAAAAATGTACGCGATGTGTCAAAAAATAGTATAAAATAAAATGAAATTAATGATAAATAAATAAATAAATAAAATTAATTAAAATATGTGTGTCAAAAAATTTAAAGTAATACTATAAATAGAAGATGAGTAAACTCAAGTTGTAAAGCAAGACATAGTATGAAGATAAAAAAGTACATATTAACTGAATACTGAATTTCACTTCGGTTCGTTTAACAATTTTTACTCAAGAAATCCCACGAAAAATATATCTGTAAACGATGTACACGACAAAATCATAATATAAATAATTGCCCATTGATAAATTAAATATAGTTATTAGATTAAGAATATGAACAAAACTTTGGGGAAAATGGTTCATTAGAGTTGTTTTATTATTTTATCTTTTGTTTTATTATTATTTTTAATTTTACAAATACAAAGAAGTTTTCAGAAACGAAAACTCAGATTATAATCGCACAAAAGTTCGATTTTAATCAATGTGGTGGCTGTGCTTGATGTATTGGTGCAAATTCTTTAACAGTTGGCATAAAACTGGATAATTTAATTTTTAAATAGCTTAGTTCAAATATATTCAAACTGTTTCTTGTCTTCCGTTTTTCGTATTTTTTGACTGTTTTCTTGTGTTCTTCCGTTTTGCATCTTTGTACTACACTTATTGCATAAAAAAAATTACACATTTAGAAAAATTATTGATTTTTAAAATATATTAAATAATTTTATTGTATTTTACACTTATATTTGTTTGTACGATTTCTTCCTTACTTTATAATACAACTTTATATCAGTAAACAATCAAGTATTAGTTTTATTAATACTACTAATTACTTTTGTAATCAATAAGGATTAATGCATATTCGCTGTCAACTCCCAGTCAATCAACTGGTGATCATTGACCCCCAGTTAAAATTGCATCAACCCTCAGCGCTTGAATACCGATCTCATTGAGAACACCTGATCTAGACAACTGAAATTTGATCCAGAAAACTTCGAAAGTTTTTCTATTTTGCAAGAAATTAAATTGGGAAAATGTATCTTTCTGCACGTTTCTAGTATTTAGCATTAATAATATAGACCATGAAAGAAACTTTCAAGTCTCTGTCTGATACTTTGATTCAATTTGAAATTTCCGTTTCAAAGTTACTGGGTTAATTTTGGAATCCCTTTAAAATTGAAATTTTGTATTGTGTGACGGATTATCTAAAAATGATAAACATATAATTATTTAAACGCACAACGTTATCGTTGATAAATTCATTTTTGAAAGAATTTTTGATAGGACTCCATGTGAATGAATTTTGTTTCCCTAGCAAAGGAACTGTTTTGGGGGGACAAACTTATAAGCTTATTCCTTTCTTTTTTAGATATTTTTGCCTCTAATATTATCTCAGGTATGATTAACATAAAATAGAGAGCGTTTTTTTTTCTATAATTCTCTTATGAAAGTTACTAAAATAAAATAATATGTTATTTAAAAGTTATTTCATTCAAAATGTAGGAAATCTAATGCAAATAAGTGTTTTGTCCAGTTAAAAATAAAAAACTTATGCTTTTGCAAATTCTGTTTTTTTTTATAATCAACATTAATTTATTAAAACTATATAAAATAATTTTTACCGTAGAATATACACCATTATATTCTCGGGCTAATTTTGTATTATTCCTGAGATCAAATCCTACGTCTATATCCGCTTCGTTCCCTGTAAGCAAATTATACTATTAGCCGTTAAATCTGGTAAACATCCCTTATACATGATT